TTAAACATTGCACAAAAATATTTGAGTGTTTTAAAGACGGAAGAATGATGTGGTTTTGCATGCGAAGCTCTCAAACTTGTTTAATAAAATGGTGCGTCAAATGACGATTTTAACGGAATTTGGTAATTTGCATATTCTTTTGAAATAAAAGGATATTTTGCCAAAAAAAACTGTTCAGTAGTTTTTGTCATGCCCTAGCCTATCTACCATAGGAAAATGAGCAAATCGAATTTTCGACCCTTGCCGCGAAATTAAGAATTTGTCTGATTTTTACTGGCAGGCACTCTTAAGTAGAATTCTACTAATAAGTAATAGTAATTAGACCGACTACAATTCAGAGAGTAATCGGGCGAGTAATTTTAAAATCGTACCAACGCTCAGTGCTAGGCCCATTTGACGAGCACAATATTAGTCCGTGAATTGTACGACACGAGGTCCAATTTCTAATTAATGGTACCCAACGATTAACCAACGATTTCCAGATTAAAAAATCAAAACGTAAGGTAAGTAGCCACACGATTCGGAGTTCAGCGCACTAACCATGAGAGAACTTCTCGTCCCATCAAATTGGTTTTCTTAATTAGTTGCAGTAACAAGTAATTTTACCTGTCTTGTATGAGGGAATGCAGTCTAGCATCAATGGTGTTGGTTGGTTTGTATGGTGAAGAATCAGCGGTTACCTCTTCTTTCCAGTATTTTTTAAGTGTAGGAAAGTGTGGCAGAGGATATGAAAATGGCGCCGTCTGAAAAACAAACAGCAATTCTATTCTCTACAGTCTACACACAAAACGAATGCTGATGTAACTTTACAGTGAAAAGTATAAATATAGTATTTCATATAACTCTAGAGCGTAAAATGTTTGCAATGAAGCGGTTGATCTACACAGTCTAGAGTATGCTAGAGCTTTCCATAGCATGAAGCGATTAAGAGTTTTTCTCCGCTAATCCGCCTGTTTTGTAAGCTATCTAAGAAATAACCAAACATTTCCATGTTCGTATCTCGAATCGGTGTACAAATAAAAAACAATTCCCACTTTGGTAGACAGCCATCATGAATCAGATCTGTATCAGGTAGCAAAGTCTCACCAGTAAAAGGTTCTCTTTGATCCTTTCACAAGACTTGTAATGGTGCACTTACCTCGATATCCAGGTCATCATGATTTTCTTCATCCATCTGAGCGCCAATCAATATCAAGACCTTCCCATCAGCGCAGATGCACGGCGACTGAGATGAGAGCAGGAAAGGCACAGGCAGCCCAACATGGCAAATTGCTGTGCAACTGTTCACATCATACAGGGTTATTCTTCTACTCTTTGTCACGGCAACAATCTGAAAAAAAGAACAAGTGGAGAAATTCAGACAATACATGCTTTGAACTGCTCTGGCTGAGCATCAACCGATACTTTGCTAACAGTCCATCGCTAGCAACCCATTCCCCTTGGGACATTCACTTGCATCTGCGCTTTTCCCCAGAATAACCGGATGAGCAAATAGCTTTATTATTTCATCCTCCCACATGATTCAATTGATTCCGGAACGGTTTTGGTTACATGTATTGATAAATCAATGAGCATATTTGGGTGTTCACTACAGTCTTCGCCACGATGGCTAACTTCCGGATTCTACTGCTGCACAGTCTCTCTAGATGCAAAGGTTATACAGGCATCGGTAAGAGGTGTCAAAATATGCAAACAGTGAGATATAAAAGTCACTTTCTTCTCGTTTTATTGCTGTGTGTTTTGTACGTATTTATTATTATGGAATTTCAGCGGGTTTTTCCTGGATGTAGCTTTCATGGGATCTATCGACTACATGATTCATAGACTTTCTCGTTCAAAACCTTCCACCTTCCATGACGGTATCCAGCGTTTTCACGTGACGTCATCAAATTCTTAAATCCAAACTAAAGGGCCCCTAAAGTTTTTATCCTCATCAGGCATAAGAGATACTTAAGTTATATCTGTTTACAACTTTCCAGCTCAATAGCGCCTTTCGTTTGGAAACCAGCGCATTTTGAATTTCGAAGTTATGGCGGTGCTTGACATAAAGCTACGATCGCGTTAGTCGAAAACTATGTATTTTTCTCGTGATTTTTAGCCATTTAAGACGTTGTCGTATTTGGAAAAGTGCTTATTTAAATTTTTACATGTTCACTGCAGTTAATCATTGTCCCAGACAACCAAAGTAAGTTCCAGATGTTAACACTATTTTCCGGCTGCCATATTGGTGTACCACAGAGGAACGCCAACATCGCGGCTCCATACTAGGCGCTGTAAATTTGCGCGGAACATTTCGACGAATATCTCAACTTTGGGACAACGAACACACCTTAAACTTGGAGAAGTGTCTTCTTTATTTATCTTCTGTAATATCACAATTTCTTGACCTTATCCACTGAATGGTTTTTGATATTATTTTGATTGCGTGACAATGAAAACGCTCTATAGCTTGGGCAAAATTTTCACCCTTTACAACCAAAGATAAATAAGCACCTGAGGCGTATCAAAATCTTAAAAATAAGCTGTGGAAAATTCCTAAAATATCGACCACATCTTCATTTCTTCCCGCTCGAAACTAGTCTTCTGAGAGACTTTGTTTTGTGCTCAGTAAATGACTATTTATTATCATTGACAAGTAGTAAAGGTAGCGTTGAGGTTTGTTTCTTACCACTTGTGGTGTTTGGCACATTGTGACAACCTTAGTGATCACTTCAGTATCAAGGGCTGATCTAAAGTTAAATACAGGTAGTTTTAACTTCATAGAATTAACATAATGACATCTCATTTCTTGAGGTAAATTTGTTTTCTTAATGCAACCCTGGTCAGTACTTCTATGACACTTCATGTCGTGGTACGCAAAACCTCATTTTGGCTAGCACATGTCTAGCAATAATTGGTATCACCCAACCAGTGGACAAATGCAAATCCTGCATTTTAATTGGCTACGCTACTAGAGGACTATCAGTAATAGTCCTCGAGTAGCGAAATTGGCGCAATCGAGCGTGACGCTTTCTTTCGTTTTATTCCCAAATAAATATTTCTTCACCTTGCATTTGCTAACTTTATTATTGCCTTTTCTGTCCGACTAGTTGGGTGATACTAAATAATTAGACCCTTCGCCCACAAGGGCTACAGGTCAATAGCCCATTCGCCTTCGCGTCATGGGCTATTGACCCGTAACCCCTGTGGGCTACGGGTCTAATTGTTAAATAGCATTCAATGAAAGCTAGGAAGTGTTATCACAGAATTTACAGGTTATTAATTTTTGAGTTTTATTCCCCTCTGTCAAGCAGCGTTCATTTTAATGAAAACTGCTGGGCAGAAGTCAGCTCCACCTTGCATAATGGGAAGCACGGAAGAGATGGTGCATAATTTTACAGATCTATTGCGCTGGTGGCGTCCAAACAGTATTGATCCTTCAAGAGACATTCGCCAAAGACACACTCCACTGATAGCGTTAAAAGCTAATGGTTAAATACAGGTAGCCAACGTTGTTGTTAAAGATCATTTAAGCTCTTCTTCACTTCCCACTCAAGATCCCAGAAACAGAAAAACATTTTTAGCTAAAGTAGGTCACTCCAAAAAACGTATATTTTTTGTCAACGCTAATAAAAACCTCGCACTAAGTTTAACAACTCACCGAAGTTTCAGCCTCTAAAGTGCTGGTTTTCCTTATGAAATTCGCCTCCAAAGAAGTCCAAAATTCGACATCGTTGCCGCCATTTTGAACAGTACTCAGTAGCCAGGCCACGTTTTCGTGAGGTCATTCCGTCCAAGAGATTTTGTCCAAATGGCTTCCTAAGAGCCTTTTAACTATCCTTCTGGGTTATGCCTGTTCTTACGCCGTAAAATTTTGATCCGAACAAGTTCCAAACTCCCAAAATGATAGCAGTGAAGGTAGTGAAGTGGATAATAACTTGGAAAAATAAATTTTGATGGCCTTGTGAAGGATGCAAAATCAGTTGCAGGTTTTTCTCCTTCCCGCCAATTTCGAGTCGGACGGAATGATGTCAAATAAACACGGCATGGCTGCCGAGTACAGTTGAAAATGGCGGTAGCCGAACTCTATTCTGTCGAGACGAATTTCTTTAGGATAGCGGGCACTTCAGAGGCTGAAATTTCAGTGAATAAAAAAGCTGGATGTTTACTTGTTATAGGTGAAGACAAAAAAAGTAAGTTTTTTGAATCAATCAATCAATATATTTAACGTGGTCGGTACGCTTAGCTAAAAAGCTAGTACGCCACGAAAAAAAAACGAAAAAAGGAAATTATAAGAGCCTTATGAAGGTATATAAATTTAAATAAATTAAGATTAAGAACTAGCTAATATTAAAATATAAGTGAGTAGAGTGACCTTCTTCTTTAATTGTTTCTTTCGATCGCAAACAGCAAGATCTATTCAACATCAAATTGAAACTACCAAAATCAACCCTTTGAAGTTACCTGTCAACAAGAGGTTTTGCTGGAAGCGACTGAGCAACTCCACATTGCAGAAGACAAAATGTTCCGTCATCGCAACTCACGATCAAGTTTGTAAGAGATGATGACACTGACGTTAATGATCCATTAGCTTCTGTGTTGACAAGAACAACAGCACTGGACAAGAAGCAAAGGTCAAGTATTTGTCCTTTGTCGGCCACAGGGTAGACCCTTAGAAGAGTACCTATATGTAGAAGAAAAAAATAGTATAAATCTATGATGTTTGCGTCAGAAACACCTTAGTTATCACAGAGTCAGATACTACAAATACTAGCAATTCATTACCTCTGAAATCTGCAGGGAGCATTGTGTAAGCCAAAACTATCTACCCGAGGATTCGACAAGTGCGGCGTACCTAGAATAGTAACCTTCATCAATAAATTGAAGTGCGTATTTTCTGGTGCGTATCCATAAATGAAGCACTGTTGCATCGAATACACGACAATTACAAGTACTTGGTTAATTCATGACTCACCTCTATAGACATCCCACACATCGACTGTTCCTATTTTTAGACCCATGGCTATGAAAGAGCCACACTCACTAACTGCGCTAATGATTATCTTGTCCGAGTGAGGCCACACTATGTCTGGCTTATGCTCCAGATCTGAAGAAGAAACAAAGCAAACCTGCGCTGAACTATAATTTTGCCTTTCGACTTTCAAGCAATTCGTTCAGTTGCTGTGATCAACAAGGTCTAGTGACCATCATTAAGCGCCTTTAGTGAAAATTTGTACTATTACACACTGTCACTATTGCTATGCTCCAGACTTTATGACATAGGTTAAGTAGAATATTGTCAATTTTCTATTGTTTGCTACGCCTGCATAATCTCTACACCTGTAGGTATAATCATTAAATCCAGAATTTTCTATTACAGAACAATATATCCAAATTGCAGCGAGCAGGTTTTAAATTGTTTACCCGTTTATAAATCATTGTCATAGAATTTTCATAGAATTTTCAAAATGCAAGTAGAACAACACGTACAAGTAAGTCATTTTTACTGCAGAGCATTTTACATCAGATAAAAATATACAATGTCAGTTCATGTGTAGTGAATTAGACTTCACATATTTTCCTTTTATATGTATACTTTCTTCGACTACGGCCAAAAACACATTGAGATGTGTTAGAAAAAGTTGACATTTTTGTTAAAATGTTTTGATTAATTCCATACCTTTTGCAGTCTTGAGAAGTGAATAAATAAATAGCTGAGTTCCTCCAGACCACCATACTGACAAGGAGTTGACCTTACTTGAACAAAACAATAAATGCCTTAATGCGCATACACTGCACACTTTAGTAGCTGAAAAATACTACTTAGAACAACTTGTGCGGGCCTAATTTCATGGCAAAATTCTTGTAAAGTGTTACAATATGGACACAATAGATTGTTTATTGACATTGATATGATTCACGTGACATTTGATCATAGTATGATTGGCATCACTTATATATTCAATACTCTCGATAGCTCACAGAACGTGTAAGATCACGAAAGTAAGAGACTTGATTAAAAGCACTTTCGATTGACTCCTGAAGAGCCGTTTGTACGTCTCCTGATAATGGGCCAAACCGAACGTGTTACATACAGGGTCCTATAGTATCGTAAAGCTGGAGTATCTTAAATAGAAGGGAACTTACTAGCTTACTATAAGAACCCTGTCACGTCCTAGATGCTTTGTTGTTTTGTCGGTGGCTGGTAGCACAGGACTACCGCAAAACGTAAAAGTTTTTTACAATCCTAATCAAAATCCTTTAGGATGTTACTTAAAGATCTTAGATAGAATCATACAGGTTTCAGTAAAGATCCTTCACTTGAGTCCCCGTGAAGATCCTTCTTATACATCCCTGCTAAGATCTTTTAAGAAAAACTCGCTAAGATCTTCAGGGATCTGTAATAGGACTTGAAGGATCCTGTAGGATCTTCTAATAGTTTTGCAGAATCTTTGCAAAGAATTTTAAGATCCCCAAATAAATTATCCTTTACAACCCTACAACTTTATCAAGATTTAAACACACAATCTGATTGGCTACACTTGGTAGTCTAACAGTGGATAGATGTCTGGCAGCAGGAGCTTGTCAAGTGTTGATGATGGCTTCAACTGTGTGTTTCCCTGGAAAATCTGATCTAAATAAAACCAATCTATTTCTTTCCTGATTTGAACAGTTGGTTGATGGGCTATGCTACAAGGAGACTCTAACTTTGATAGTTTGTTCTAGGCTTTGCCCCTCATCAAATGTGAGACAATAGTTAACAATTAGACCCATAGGCCTTGCGGGCTACGGGTCAATAGCCCATGAGGCGAAGCCGAATGGGCTATTGACCCGTGGCCCTTGAGGGCGAAGGGTCTAATTGTTTTAGTATCACCCAACTAGTCGAACAGAAAAGGCNTTTCGCTACTCGATGACTATTACTAATAGTCCCCTAGTAGCGTAGCCAATCAAAATGCAGGATTTGCATTAGTCCACTAGTTGGGTGATACTAAAAACATTTAGTAAAAGCTCTTCATGTCGCTGTTATGTTAATAATTACCAGCTTGAAGGTAAGTCTGAGATGGATGGGGCTTCAGAATGGAGGTGACATTCATGCACCAGGGGAACAAAACCCGGTAGAGAGGCCAAGGGCTCTTGCTGTTATTGTTACTGCCTCACTGAGCCTAACAGGCTGATTCCACTTACCAGGTGCAGACTCCAATCCTGATGGAACCAACCTCCCAGGTGTTAAGAAATGTATTTTAGGAAAGCTTTAATAGAAGTAGAATGCACAAATTAAATATACAGTAACTACCCGCGGCGTTAACATCTAAGACTGCTTGAAACTTCAAAGAATGAGGATAATGGAAGAATTATTAATCGTGGTACATGTATGTATGTAGCATTACCCCATGATGCCTTCTGTCATGAGATTTCCTGATATCATGTGAGGAGAATTCAAGGGACTGAAGTGGCTAGTAACCTTGTCAGATCCTCGTCATTTTTATTCAGATACTGCAGTTCGTTCTTGTGAAGCTGACGGAATGTTTTATCGCANCCAGGTCATCATGATTTTCTTCATCCATCTGAGCGCCAATCAATATCAAGACCTTCCCATCAGCGCAGATGCACGGCGACTGAGATGAGAGCAGGAAAGGCACAGGCAGCCCAACATGGCAAATTGCTGTGCAACTGTTCACATCATACAGGGTTATTCTTCTACTCTTTGTCACGGCAACAATCTGAAAAAAAGAACAAGTGGAGAAATTCAGACAATACATGCTTTGAACTGCTCTGGCTGAGCATCAACCGATACTTTGCTAACAGTCCATCGCTAGCAACCCATTCCCCTTGGGACATTCACTTGCATCTGCGCTTTTCCCCAGAATAACCGGATGAGCAAATAGCTTTATTATTTCATCCTCCCACATGATTCAATTGATTCCGGAACGGTTTTGGTTACATGTATTGATAAATCAATGAGCATATTTGGGTGTTCACTACAGTCTTCGCCACGATGGCTAACTTCCGGATTCTACTGCTGCACAGTCTCTCTAGATGCAAAGGTTATACAGGCATCGGTAAGAGGTGTCAAAATATGCAAACAGTGAGATATAAAAGTCACTTTCTTCTCGTTTTATTGCTGTGTGTTTTGTACGTATTTATTATTATGGAATTTCAGCGGGTTTTTCCTGGATGTAGCTTTCATGGGATCTATCGACTACATGATTCATAGACTTTCTCGTTCAAAACCTTCCACCTTCCATGACGGTATCCAGCGTTTTCACGTGACGTCATCAAATTCTTAAATCCAAACTAAAAGGCCCCTAAAGTTTTTATCCTCATCAGGCATAAGAGATACTTAAGTTATATCTGTTTACAACTTTCCAGCTCAATAGCGCCCTTCGTTTGGAAACCAGCGCATTTTGAATTTCGAAGTTATGGCGGTGCTTGACATAAAGCTACGATCGCGTTAGTCGAAAACTATGTATTTTTCTCGTGATTTTTAGCCATTTAAGACGTTGTCGTATTTGGAAAAGTGCTTATTTAAATTTTTACATGTTCAGTACAGTTAATCACTGTCCCAGACAACCAAAGTAAGTTCCAGATGTTAACACTATTTTCCGGCTGCCATATTGGTGTACCACAGAGGAACACCAACATGGCGGCTCCATACTAGGCGCTGTAAATTTGCGCGGAACATTTCGACGAATATCTCAACTTTGGGACAACGCACACACCTTAAACTTGGAAAACTATCTTCTTTATTTATCTTCTGTAATATCACAATTTCTTGACCTTATCCACAGAATGGTTTTTGATGTTATTTTTATTGCGTGACAATGAAAACGCTCTATAGCGTGGGCAAAATTTTCACGCTTTACAACCAAAGATTAATAAGCAACTGAGGCGTATTAAAATCTCAAAAATAAGCTGTGGAAAATTCCTAAAATATCGGCTACATCTTCATTTCTTCACACTAGATACTAGTCTTCTGAGAGACTTTGTTTTGTGCTCAGTAAATGACCATGTATTATCAATGACAAGTAGTAGAGGTAGTATGTTTAGGGTTGTTTCTTACCACTTGTGGTGTTTGGCGCATTGTAACAACCTTAGTGATAACTTCACTGTCAAGGGCTGATCTAAAAAAACACGAGTTCAATACAGGTAGTTTTTAACTTATACAATTAACCAGAAGCATATCACCTGAATTAACAAAGTGACATCTCATTTCTTGAGGTAAGTTTGTTTTCTTAATACAACCCTGGTCACTACTTCTATGACACTTCATGTCGTGGTACGGAAAACCTCATTTTGGCTAGCACTTGTCTAGCAATAATTAGTATCACCCAACTAGTGGACTAATAAAAATCCTGCATTTTAAGGTGGCTCCCTATAGTTTTACGACCGCGCGAGCGCTGAGGAGGTAATCTGCGCGCGCTCAAAGGAAAACGTCAGTGTTTTTCGATATTTTATTGCGTCAACATGAGCACAAAAAAGCAAAACTGACAGTGAATTTTCTCGCGTTTCGTCCGGTGAAATTCCCTTAAATTTGGCAGATTGGTAGTAAATATTTTACTGAAGTTGGAGCTCGTTTTTCAGGGAAATCTATAAGACCAGATTTTTTGCAGCGGTAAAAGACATGAATTTGAAAATATCGGAAAAACTGCCTTTAAAAACCCTACTTTTTTCGTGTTTAAAATTCGTATCCCTCCGGAAGCGATGTGATATAAAAATTTTGGAAGATTTCACCAAAGGAAATTCATGAAAATCACAAATAAAGCTATAAAAACAGTAAAAAACACATTTGTTTTGGGCATTTATAATTCAAGACTAAATCCCCGGATTTTAACAGAGATGACAGCAAAATGCTATTTTATCATTGCTTATTACATGTAATAAGTTTGAGAGGACTAGGTGAGAAAGCGAATGCAAAAATAGCATTCAAAACATAACACTTGCGCGCGTAAAGCCATAAATGATTACCCTATGGAGACACCTTAATTAGCTACGCTACTAGAGGACTATCAGTAATAGTCCTCGAGTAGCGAAATTGGCGCAATCGAGCGTTACGCTTTCTTTCGTTTTATTCCCAAGTAAATATTTCTTCAACTTGCATTTGCTAACTTTATTATTGCCTTTTCTGTCCGACTAGTTGGGTGATACTAAAACAATTAGACTCTTCGCCCTCAAGGGCCACAGGTCAATAGCCCATTCGGCTTCGCCTGATGGGCTATTGACCCGTAGCACTTGCGGGCTACGGGTCTAATTGTTAAATAGCATTCAGTGAAAGCTAGGGAGTGTTATCACAGAATTTACAGGTTATTAATTTTTGAGTTTTATTCCACTCTGTCAAGCAGCGTTCATTTTAATGAAAACTGCTGGGCAGAAGTCAGGTCCACCTTGCATAATGGGAAGCACGGGAGAGATGGTGCATAATTTTACAGATCTGTTGCGCTGGTGGCGTCCAAACAGCATTGACCCTTCATGAGACACTTGCCAAAACACACTTCACTAATAGCGCTAAAAGCTAATGGTTAAATACAGATAGCCAACGTTGTTGTTACAGATCATTTAAGCTCTTCTTCACTTTCCACTCAAGATCCCAGAAACAGAAGAACATTTTTAGCGAAAGTAGGTTACTCCAAAAACGTATATTTTTTGTCAACGCTAAATAAAAACCTCGCACTAAGTTTAACAATTCACCGAAGTTTCAGCCTCTGAAATGCAGATTTTCCTTATGAAATTCGCCTCCAAAGAAGTCCAAAATTCGACATC